CTGAGGCCTACTCCGCCGCCTCTCAGTGCTATTGTCCCTGGGCCAGGCACCGACCGGGTCCGCTGGGGAGCGCCAAGTGCGCCGGCTCCGCGGAAGATGCCGGACCAAGCCTTACAGCAGATGCTGGACAGGTACAGGGTGCTTTGGGGGGCGGACGGGGCCCGCGACCCTCGCTCTGACCCCACCGGCGCTGGGCCTCGAGGCTCTTGGTGAGTTGAGCCCGGTGTACGGGGAAGAGTTCCACGGCTGGGGGGCGGTGAGGGGCGCAGAAAGTTTGGAGTCTGCACTTGCGGGAGGCCAGAGCAAGAGGCCTGGGTCATAGATTTAGAAACTTAAAGAGTGGCTTCTAGTTTTGTTGGAATACCGTTTTGAAACGAAAGGCGCTGGTGTAAACCCATAGAATTAGTTTCTTTTTCTTAAACCGTCTCCACCCCCTGCAACTGTGTTGTAAAGTATTTGTCAGCGGTCCCTGGGAAGAAGAAACCAGATAATCGTTCTGGGGAGTAAGCCCCGTATCATTTTAAGCCTCTTTTCAAAAACCAAGGATAAGCATTCTTTTGGAAAGCCTGATAGGCTGATTTCACTCCTCTCTCCCTCCCCCATCCCATCCCATCCCCACCCCCAAATTAAGGTCAGAGTATCCGCAAGGGAGTCTTAACGGTCATACCAGAGTAGAGGTTATGGAAAACAGCCACATGAGTCCAACACCAAACACTTAGCACACTTGATGATCGTTGAGTTCTCTGAGAAAGTTTCAGCTTTTACCGGGGCCAGTGTCCCATTCCTGGGGGGCTCCAATCAGTAAAAACTGCTTGGTGAAGTCGGCTGCACCGCCCTCTGCTGTTCAAATTCTAGTCAGTGGGTTCTACCAGAGTTTTTGGAGACTAAATCCAGTTTTTCTCCTAGCCAAGTCTTGCTTCCTGTCGTGGCCCAATTGAACAAGCCAATTCATAATGTTTGTGGTTGCTTACAGAGCTCAGTGGACATACTGGCCACCTTGTTCAGCAGGTGGTACAGCTTTTTTGTGCTGAGTAAAGGTCCAACTGTAAGGTGTTGAATGAAGATCCTCCCTTAATTGAGATTATACCCTGTTAAAGTTGTTTGGGTCTGCCGCACCCAGAACAAAAATCACCAAGAGTAATGCACCTCCCAGAGTGACAGGCATTTCCTTTGGAGCTTAGAATTTTGAGACATCTAAGTTGATAGAAATTATGTCACTGACTTTTTTTCAGTTGGGATGACTGGTAATTGTGCAGCCCTTGTTTCAGATCAATATTCCAACAGTTGTTCTGTGCACCACTTTTTTTATAATGCAAAACTTATTAGTTGTTATTTTAAATCTTAAAAGAGACCTGCTGAACAGTATTCAGCAGGTAATCAGGAAGTTGGGGGGTTTTTTATATTTATTTTTTAGTTGTAGATGGACACACAATATCTTTGTTTCAGTTTGATTTGGTACTGAGGATCCAACCCCGTGCCTCACATGCACTAGGCGAGCGCTCTACCACTGAGCCACAACCCCAGCCCCATTCAGGAAGTTTTTGTTGGATGAATGTTTGTCAGTTTTCCAAATTGTTTAGGGATCTGATCATTTACCATGTTTTCCCTTCATTGTAATTTAGCACACTAAATTATGGCATACTAAAATATGCCAGAGGCTGTCTCCTGCCATCAAATGAGACCCTGGTCTATTGCAGGATATTTTGTAATGAATTTTTTTCCTCTAAGAATACTTTCATTTTTACTTTTATGTGGTAACTTTTAGAAAAATTCTTATCCAAAAGCTGTCCTGGCTTTTCATACAATTTTTACACATTTCCATAAAAGCAAAAAGTCAAGTAGTGCTAATGAAGCATTTCAAACTTCACAGTAACAGAAATTCTGACTGCCATGAAGCAGGTGACTGTAACACTCTCACATTTTTGCCTTTTTGGCATACAATAAGTTAGTTCTGTTTTTTTGCACTGCTGAGGGTTGAACTCGGGACTCCCACATCCTTGGCAAGTGCTCTACCACTGAGCTACATTCCCTGCCCTAAAGGTAGATTCTTAACATGACTTTAGAAGATGTATTGCCTAGTCAGTAGTTTGCAACCTAATTCTACATTAGAATCACCTGAGGAACATTTAAAACTATGGATCGATACTTGGACCCTGTCCAAGACCAATGAGATCACAAATTTCTGGAGTACAGGGCCAGGGCATCTGTATTTTCAGAGGCCTTCTAGATGTTTCTGATGTGTGTAAAAACAATTGCCCTAAACCCTAAGGGATAATTTCACAATATGAGGTAGTATTATTTAGTGAAACTAGCTTGTAATTTTGTCACTTGCTAACTATTTGAATAGGTTAGATTTTGTATTGTGAGGCTTCGAGGCCTAATTTATAAAATGGAAATATCCTTTTCCATAGGATTGTATTAAAGAAGACCAAGCATCCTTAAAAAACACTATTCATATATGTTAGGCAAACAGAAAGTACTTATGACTACCGTAACCAGTGTGGCAATTTCCCTCCATCTCCTTCATATTTACTATCATCTTAGTCTGCACTGGCCCTACATAAAAATCAAACTCAAAGATACTCAACATGCCTCATTTGAGGAAAGCTGATAGGCCCAACAGACCAAAATACGTCAGCCTGTTAGGGCCCAAAATTCTTTTTATGAATTTAGCTTCTCCCCATCTTGATCATTAAATGTCTTTTTTTCTTTTATTTTTTACTTTCTCCTTTCCAAATCCACTTGTTTATCAAACTTTGTAAATTCTTGTGGGAGAACAATTGTTTGAGAATAGTTGGAAAGGAAGTGATTTTTCTAGAGCCATGAAAAATTTGGGGGCCTTCTAATTCTACATGCCACAGTTCACATAGAAGTTGATAATATTTACATGGAATATTGGAGTAAACTGAAATTGTAACCACTCTTGAGCTTAAACCCTTAGTATCAGACCCTTGGAAACTTGGTCAGCTGAAGTATATTATATATTGCTTTATCACCACCTATGTTCTCATTTTTCTCTTAAATTTCAATTAAATGTATAAAGACAATACAAGGAATATTGTTTTTTAAAAAAAAAAAAATCCTGTAGGAGTGGATCTCAGATTTGAAGTCTGGGCCTGCTTAGAGAGATTTCTGGTAACTGGACTTTTGCTTCCCCCATCTCACAATAAGCCATCAAGAATTTGTTGAGGTTGTTTTGTATCACTTACTTGCTTTTAACAAATAACGCCAGGAATGTATCTAGAGTGTCCCACGAACATTCAGATAGGAGAAAGAGCGGGGAGTATGGTCTACTCCCACAATGGCAAAGTGAATAAAAATCCTCACTTTTTTGAGCATATTATTTTCCACAGATGTATATTCCATTAGAGGCCAGGAACACTATGTTGATGGAAGCGTTAAATCTTTTTTTGCTTTATATGGGTAACTGTGTCTTAGTTTCCATTAGAACAACTTCACATTCTCTTTGTTAGATGACATTTTTTTTCCTCAGTCATATCACCATCTCATTTTGACAATTACAGACCAATACCTGGATTTGAAAACCATTAGTTCATTATATTTACTTCCACCTATGAGTAAAAAGTAGAAACATTACCTATAAAAACTCCATTGACCCCATCCCTATTCTGAAGTCTTCTCAATCCCACTCTAATATCATAAAGTCAATTTTTATTCTCCAGTCTTCTGATTAATATTTTTGTATATAAAAGTATTAGCATGCCATTTTTTTCTCTTAATTCATTTCCCTGTTAAGACATTTAGGTTATTGTTTCATCTTATCTTTGTATAATTTGACTTTCATTTCCCTTTCCTGTCCTTAGCTGTACTAATGTATCCCAAAGGTCACCAGTAATTTCTTAAATCAGTATAGTGAAGATTTTTTATTTGTCCTCACATCCTTGACATGTATGTAATAGAAATGAAGCTGATAGCACCTCCTCCCCATTCCCCTGTCCCAGTACTGGATATTGAACTCAGGGGCACTCAAATACTGAGCTACATCCCCAACTGTTTTTATTTTTGAGAATGGGTTTCATTGAGTTGTCTAGGCTGGCCTCAAACTTGTGATCCTCCTGCCTTGGCCTCTTAAGTAGCTAGGTTTGCTTCATTATGGCTGGCTTCCTTTTACTTCTTGAAACTATGTTTTATTATACCATTCTGTTTCTTTTGCTTTTTCTTCTTGTCTCACTTCTTCTTTAATTCTTAAGTGTGGCTCAGTCCTTTGCATTTATCTTTCTGAAAATGTATACTATCTTGCTTCTATCTCTATTTGAGTGAGCTCTCAGATCTATCTTTATTTCTGACCTCTTTCCTTCATTCCACTCAGTACCTCATTTCTAGCTACCCAGTGGACATTTCTGTTTGTATATAATACAGTATTACCATTTATCTAAAACAAACTGATTCTTCCCCAACTTTTACTTATCTTTACTTCTCAATTTTTAATCTTTGATATGGCCATTCTTCTAGTTCACCAGCTGTAAAACCTAAGCCTGTTTTTTTCTTTTTTTCTTCTTTCCAAATTCACTCACTTATCAAATAGTGTAGGTTTCCTACCCCACCACCCTGGCACCAGTTTTTCTCTTTGTTCACTTTGGCTTAGTAGCACCACAATTGGCCAAGACATGATTATCATCCCATTTCCATATTTGAAAATCTACCAGTCTCTGTCACTGATAAGAACAGAACTCTAAACTTTCAAAAGCCTAATGTATCCTTGCATTTTCATTGTCGCCTGAATTTATCTTGCTATTTCATCTCAATTTTGTTTTGGATGCCTTCTTCCCTGCCCATTTCTTACCACATCTTTAGAATTTAGCTCAAATCATCAAATTGATGCCTCATACAGCTACCCATTTAGAGTTAATAATAATGTGTGTCCATAGAACCATTATTCATTTATTATAGTATGTCATTGTATATGTACATGTGTGTACCACCATCCTCCCACCCCCACTGCTGGGGATTGAACCTGGAGCCTTGTGCATGCTAGGTAAGTGTTCTGCCACAGAATCACATCCCCAGGCCTTATTTATTTTTTCACATCACATGTCTTAAAGCATTCCACACACAACACACCCTCTACCACCATTTCCACAAGTGTTTAACTGGAAATTCTTTTGAGAAC